CCTACCCCCTGCAAGGCCAGGACCCTGTGGGGTGGGCATCGAAACCGTTCTCCAAGCAAGAGCAGCGGTAAACTCACCTCCTCGCGATGGATGCGGGACAGGTAGTTCACAAACAGGTTCTCGGGCCCTGGAGGCTGCTGAGGGTGGAGCTGGGGTGAACAGGTGCCCCCACCCTCTGCCCCGACCCCAGGCCTCGGCAGCTGGGCCCCCTCGATCCCCAGGCTGACCACAAGGTGCCCACTGGGTATCCCTCGCCCAGCTCAGCTAGGGGGGTGCCACCTGGCCAGAGGCCCCGCCCTCCCTCTCCGGTTCTTACGTCGACGTCGTCCATGGCCGTGCCGGTGGTGGTGCCGTCCACGGGTGGGGCTGGCACTGGAGGCGCTGTCGTGGTCCAAGGTGACAATGAGCACCTGAGCGGCCTCCTCCACCAGGGGCTCCCGGGAGTCGGAGAAGAGCAGGTGGTTGTAGGGGATCCCGTAGCCCACAGGGTCATAGGCACACACGGTGTTGAGCAGGGAGGTGAAGAGGGGCAGGGCGTGTCTGCGGGGAGAGGAGCGAGGGGACTGCAGAGACCCCCCCCAGGCCCAGTCCTCCTCCATCCCGACAGCCATCCCCTCCTTCAACACGGGTTTCAGTGCCAGCTCTGGGCGGGGCCGGGCCGCAGAGCCGGGAGCTGGGAGCTCGTCCCTTCCTGTAGAAGGAGCCCTCCTGGTCCTTGCCTGCCTCTGGGACCCGGACCCGCACTGGCTGGGCCTCGGCGGGAGGAATTTGTTCCCCAGAGTGGGGCGGCCGGTCAGGAGGGGCTCTTGGTAGGAAACCATGTCCACATCCCTCCGACTCCTCGCGCCAGGGTGAAGCCTGGTCTTTTTTAAATTACTATTATTTTTTATTTCGAGAAGAAGGGAGAGGGGGAGATAGAAACATCAATGATGGGAGAGAATCACTGATTGGCTGCCTCCTGCACACCCCACACTGGGGATCGAGCCCCCAATCTGGGCATGTGCCCTGACCGGGAATTGAACTGTGACCTCCTGGTTCATAGGTCAATGCTCAACCACTGAGCCATGCTGGCCGGGCATGAAGCCTCTTCTTTTTATATATATATACTATTTTTCAGAGCTTCACAGCAAAACTGAAGAAGGCCCGAGATGTGCCGCTCACCCCTGCCCCACATATGCAGCCTCCCCCACTGGTGCCCCATTGACGAGCCTGCACTGACGCATCGGAACCACCAAACCCATCGCTTCCATCAAGGCCCGTCTCGGTGCCGGACAGCCTTCAGGCCGGGCCAGTGGATGATGATGTGGCCCCTGGGTTTTTGAGGGGCAGGACCCTCCCTCGGGGCTCCGAGAGGGGCTGCTGGCCCACGGGAGGTAAGCCTCCCCTCAGGAAGCAGGGCACATGCTCAGTCACCCAGTTCCCAGGCCCCAGGTGACTCCATTCAGATGTGTGAGATGTCAGGGTTCAAGCTCCTCATCTTACAGAGGAGGAAACGGAGACCCGGAGAGGTTAAGCGAGTGGCAGGGCGCCGTCTGCCTGATAAGGCTGCGGAGGAAGAAGACTGGCGGCTCTGCGCTGTGGCTGGTGGAGGAGGCCCCTGGGCTCCCTTCTGGGGGGAGGGGGGGGAGGTTGGGCAGGAGGCCAGGGAAATCTGAAGGAGGAGGTGTGCCATGTGGGCACCAGAGTCTGGGAGGGAGGGGATGAACCAGGACCCTTGGGGACACGAACCCGGGTGCTGCCAGCACTGCCCTGGGCACAGCGGGAGCTGCACAGCCGAACGGCCTGTATCTGCTCCAAATGCTCGGTCCGCCATGTGACACCTCTGTACTCACATCAGCCCCCATGGCCCGTGAGTGAGCGCCCCCCTCGGGCCGGGCTTCCCATCCTTCAGGGTATATTCATGATGCCCCCTCCTCACCCATTGTCTAAATTGTACTGACCCCCCGCCCAAATAAATAAATAAATAAATAAATGGCACTGCCCAATACAACCCACATGTAACTCCTAGGAGCTTAAAACGTGGCTGGTCCGAATTGGGAGGTGCTGTAAGTGTGAACTACACACCTGATCCTGAAAACTCAGCATGAGAAGGGCACATCACATACCTCAATCACTGTGGATATTGATGACATGTGACATGCTAATATCTTGGCTAGGTTGGGTTAAATCAAACATATTATTAAAATTAACTTCACCTGTTTCGTTTTTACTTTTTAATGTTGCTGGTAGAAATGTTTAAATTGCATGTGTGGACCTAACCGGTTTGGCTCAGTGGATAGAGCGTCGGCCTGCGGGCTGAAGGGTCCCGGGTTCAATTCCGGTCAAGGGCATGTACCTTGGTTGCGGGCACATCCCCAGTAGGGGGTGTGCAGGAGGCAGCTGGTCGATGTTTCTCTCTCATCGATGTTTCTAACTCTCTATCCCTCTCCCTTCCTCTCTGTAAAAAATCAATAAAATATATTTTAAAAATTAAAAAGTAAATTGCATGCGTGGCTCGCATAGTAACTAGATGGAGGATCCAGGCACCTGTCATCCAGGGACCCCAGTGGGACATGGGACAGCACTGGCACAGGTGTGGCTGTTACGTTACAGGTCATCACCACCAGGGGGCAGCACCTCCCTCAAATAAGACTCCTAGGGCTGGAGCGAGGCCTCCGCTCCTCAGCTCTGCTGCCTGGAACAGGAGGAAGAGAAGGGAAAGGAAGGCAGGAGGCCCTCACCTGTTCTCTGTGGAACAGAAGAACTGCACCCACGGGTTGGTGCTGCCACTGTCAGGAGCCGGAGGCAGGTACATGGCCTCAGAGAAGCACCTCTGCACCAGCTTCAGCAGCTCAGTCCTTGGGGAGGGG